GGTTGGAGACCCAGCCATTGATGGTGTCGGACTCACATCGGGAAATGATTCTTCGTCTCCTGATGCAGGCGCATCTGGTCGATCAAGGACGTTGTCACTCAGCGTGGGATTAGATGCATTGGCGGGGTCTGCCAAGAATGGGTTTGATGGACTATCGGGGATGGGACCAGTGGCATCTGATCCAAGGATTATAATGAGGACAACATAAAAATGTGAAAAGACGTTACCAAAATGTGTTGAGTCTGCACCAACTTCTTCATCAACTGTCGGCAACAATGTTGTGATGGGAGATGCGGGATTGAGGTGTGCTGTAGTACAATGATGAGGGTGTGTGCGCGATGGTCACGGAGTACTTACGTGGATCTGCTTGAGTGATGGCTTCAGGTACGTTGTTCATGGGAGCATCTGCCGATGCTGATATTGAGCCGCCACGACCACGTCGACCGCGTCGAGGAGGGTTGTTCGTCGTGCTTTTACGAGGAGGCATTTTTCTGCAGATACGAAGTCAGGATGTTAGTCTTTTAAGTAAAACACCACATAGAGGCGAAATACATGGTGTGGAGCAATCACCAATGTCGCCGTCCTCTCTGATTACCGTCCTTTAGCGCAATGATGAATGAGTGTCATTTGAGGTAGGGAACATTGACAAATGGATAGCTATCTACCTCATGCTTGTCCATGAGGTCGGTAGAGAATAAATTCAAGGCATTTAGAAAAAGAAGCGGTGAATGGATGGAGAGTGGGTATATTTGCCGAACACTGATAAGAATGTTATAAACAATCAGAGGTGGGACAAGGTATGTAAGTGAAATGAATAGAATGGGCGGTGCGCCGAACACGTTGACTATTGACACACCCTCGTGTAGCCTCTTTCCTCAAGATCACGATGTGCCATCTGTCCTCACTCCACTCCATAACAACCCGGCAACTCTCCTGGGTGGCAGGTTTACGTCCTGATAAGAGAAGCAAGGAGTCAGCACGCCATCAAAGTATTATGAACAATCTTCATACCTCAAACTGGGCTCATCATGAAAAGTAGGGGAGAAGCAGGCAAGAATGAGGCGGGGAGCAGAATACAAGGAAAGAGCGTGCGCCGACAGTGTAGAGCGACGTTGTTGGGGAAAAGTTACCCTTATCGGATTATCTACCAAATTCAGTTTCAAACCATCAGTGTGACCGGTTTGAAACATGCAAAAACCAGTTGATAAGGTGACCAAACCACAGCAGACCGCAGACCAATGGCTTGGTTAGATCAAGTTTATTTTTGGTCTGGTTTGTGGTTTGATCAGAACCGAATCGGACTTCGGCAACACTATCTGACACTTACCCTATCCACCCCAATTTACCTATTTTCTTTCAACTATGCATGCTCTGTTTTTGTACTACTATCAAACTACTATTTGATGTCAGTGTATACTCAGTTTTGAGATTCCGCCTTCAACTTTAAATATAAAAGGCAGGTGCTAAGAATAACTCCCGCTGTTGCGCTTACATGGCGCGATCACTCAAAAGACATATCTGGAAATACTGTGCCAGATCCTGGCAAATACCACTCCCTCATCTTGGCAATTTCTTGACCACAGTAGATGCTGGACCGCCAACGGCAAGAATCACTAGAATAGCTACATTTTCGAAGTTCTGGCTTGATGTTCCTAGGCGACATCTCATGAAATCTACAGTCAATGACACGCCTTCAACACTTTTCTGGGACCTCGCTCAGCCTGGATCAAGCTCTCACCATGTCTGAACAGCTGGCCGGAAACTCAAGCAGCTATGATGCCGGCTAAAAAGACACACCCCAAATGAGCAGGAGATCAATCGTACAGTGCTTGAGAGTCAAGTGGCAAGCTACTTCTGAAGCTGGTGGCAACAGAAAGCTTCCCACCTGTCAACCATCCAAACCCTGCTCTGCCGGAGACCATAGTTCTCCCAACGACCAACACACTCAGCCCCCTGTCCCATTTCACAGTAATTCTCACCTGCCTCCGAATTCAACAAGGGGGTGGCGGAACATGGAAAATGTACCAACACTCCCTATTTTTTTCTTGTGGATTTGGCTGACCTCCCCCCTCCCCCCTCTTACTATATAAGGTATGTTTTCCAAGTTCCTATGTTTTATTAAATGTTGTTTTGTCCCATGGTCCCACATTTTCAAAAATCCTGCACTGTCCCTACCTAAACCGAGAACTCACAAACCCAGGCTGTGACTTTCAAATAACAATTCTGGTTTTCATGTAGGAACATACCTGAGCAAACACAGTGAGTTTCGCAGACTGTTAACAGTATATTTACTTGCGAAATTGTCACATAGAAAATTTCATTCATGGCATATAAAGAGGTTTCATTGCCGTTTTCGCCATCAAGAGCCTCAAATTGGCCTTGAACAAGCTTCCTTCTTTCTTAAGAAGCTTGTTTGGAGCCTCAAATTCGGCCTGGATGCAGCAAGTTATGAGTCCTTACGAGTTTACAAGTAAGACTCATTCTTTATCAACTGAGGACTTAGGCAAATTTTTCATTCATTCATTCACCTTTCAACACTGCGGGAACCTTTTACCTTAAAGAGAAAAACACCTGTACAATGGAGCACAATCAGTAGGAAATTTAAAAAAAATAAGTGGAAAATAATGTTGCTTAGTGGTGCCATGTGAAGTTGGAGAGGCTGTGTTCAGGGTTCAGGGTTGATATCTAAATATAGAAACCAGCTGAAAAATGGGCAGAAAATCAGAAAAAATACCCAAAAACTAAGAGTTATATTCTCTGTTGACATGATATTGAAGGGGCTGAGTTGATGGCTCAGGGTCCACATCTAAATATAGAACAAAGGCACAAAATGGCTAAAACATCAGAAAAAAATGAGAAAAAAATGCAAATAACATTTATTGTTATGACAATGTTGAAGGGGCTGTGTTCAGGGTTCAGGGTCCATATCCAAATATAGAAAATGTTGTTACATTATGAAATGTGATTATATCATCTGACTAGCATTCTGTCTTGTTGAGACATTGGTCAAAATCTATGACTATTTTCAAAAAGTGTCCAATTTTTTCAGTATTTTGTGTTTTTCTCAATGAGGAAAGATCTGTGTGACATTATTTATATATATTTGTAAAGCTAAGCAAAGGGGCTACATATTTTGTTAACAAAGCTAAGGGAGTGGCTGTGTTTCTGTGACTGTGGGAAAATTAGCCCAAAAAAGGAAATTGGCAGCAGTTGTATAGAGCATGCTGTTATGTTTCTTCATGTAGTTGCAAAATGTGACTAGCTGTCTTTGTTCCTGAGATATATGCAAAAACAGCTATTTTTTGTGCCTTTTTGTGTTTTTCCCAATAAGAAATACATCTGGTCACATGATTTCAGTATATTTAGAAATGTCTAAGAAGGGGCTACAATCCATGTACTGTGGGAAAAAGTTCCCAAATAAGGAATGTGGACTTGCTCTAAACTTCCTGGGTACTTCAAAGCTTCTGGTAACCAATGGTAAACTTTCCCTCTTGAACTTGAACCACCATCATCTTGCTTTGCTGGCACCTTGTTCACCTCATTGTGACTCAACCACTCATGCTACTGCTACAATTCTTTTTGCTATGGCTTCTAGCCTTTCTCTGCTACACTTCTATGCCCTCTATGTTCTCTTCCAAGACCTGGAAGATGCTCAGATCTGGAAATACTGGTGTTAGCTCTGAACTTGGTCACTTTTGGCCATGTAAGTGTCTATTTCTATATTTCTGTAGGTACTCTGCTAATCTTTCTATATTCTAGATCAACAAACTACCTGTTCTCTGGCTACTCTAAGCCCAGAAGGTATGTAACTTGCTCTTTTTAGCACATATTCTTAAATTTAATATGTTTAACCATCATTGGCCTTCTGCCAATCAAATCCTATGGATTTTTATGCCACCTCTTTCTTAAACTATGGTAAGTCCTTAGCTTGATCATATGCAACTTAGGACTGAGCAATCTCTTAGATATTCTAGACTGGGATCAAGGGAGTTTTTCCAACTACCTTTATCCCAGTATGAATCTGAGGACTTGTCCTTGGATTTCTATGATAGAGATTGATTTCAACCCAAGCCCATTGGCACTGTTAATAGAGATTGATATCAATCCAAGCCTGTTGGCACCCAACCATTTGGTTGATCCCCTTCCATTCAACATGGTTGAGGAGATGATATGTGATACACATGCCCTTCCATCTATGGTTGGCAAATTGAGAAACAACAGAGATGCCCTTCCATTTATGGTTGAGGAGACAGGCCAAGTGGCTTACTCAAATATGAGAGTTGATAAGATGTATAAGCATACATCAGGGGTATCACCCTTGTTATATTGGAATGCACAAAGCTCATGGTCAGAAACTTTGAACTTGAAAAATGGTGGCTTTTCTACCTGTCTTGAACTTAGCCCTGAGCTATGTAAAAATGACTACACATTTTCTGAACATGTAGATTTAAAACTTCATAAGATATGGTTGCATCTGAGATCTTCTCCACTATTGGAATTATATGTCAGAGCTTTCTTTACTCTTCTCAGATTATTTGATATTATTTCTCAAAGAGATCTACCCTCAGTAAAATGCCAGGAACTTGGTTTGAAATTGAAAAGAAATATATTGAGATCTCATGACTTTGCTGCTCTTATCAAAAGAATTGGTGGATACTTTACTATTTTGAACTTTGCAAAGTACATTGTATATTTTATAATATTCCACCATGTCTCAGCTTTGCAGCACTTCAAGTTCTCAATAAAAAACACAAAAAATTGGTGTATCATGATACTTGCTCTATCTGTAGTATTCTTTTTGGAGCTGGATCTTCCAGTTTTTAAACCAACACAAAGTTTTGATCAACATGATGACTTGGTGAATAAAAATGAAATATTGGGGGGTGGCCCTGCAGGTATATTTTCAGCTGAGAAGCTTTCTGCATTTGCTATAAATAAGGTGAATCCAGGAGGAATCTATAAATATTCAAACTATGTACCTGAATCTGAAGTTCATACACTGCAGAGTATCAAGAGTCCAACTTTACTTTGTAAGATGCCACTTACAGAGCTCATCTCCCACTTAAGCATTCCTAACTTGAAATTTATTGCTCAATGCCATAACATCAAAATTCATTCCAAGTCAAAAAGCTTAGAAATTCAGAGAATTATTGAAAGTCACAAGTGTAAATCATGTGAAGAATATGTAGAAATATTTGAATTTATAGATGAGAAAGACAAGATAGAAAAAAAGAAGGCCAGCAACTTGGAGTCAGTTAAAAAATACCAAGAGAAAAGTCCAGACAAATATAAGGCCAGCAACTTGGAAGCAGTTAAAAAAACACCAAGAGAAAAGCCCAGATAAATATAAGGCCAGCAACTTGGAGGCAGTGAAAAAACACCAAGAGAAAAGCCCAGAGAAATATAAGGCCAGCAACTTGGAGGCAGTTAAAAAACACCAAGAGAAAAGCCCAGAGAAATATAAGGCCAGCAACTTGGAGGCAGTTAAAAAACACCAACAAAAAAACAGCAGCTTCTTGGCCACCTGGCTTTAAGCCTGAATGGACTTGTGTTCCAACTGAGTGACTGTATAGAGATTGACCACCAACAGGGGGCCATTGGGCAAAATCACCAGCAAATATCATATTAATTCCACCATATGGCTTATCAAAATTATTGAGTGCTTTGGCTAACTGTGAAGCAATTTTATACATGTCA